CTCTATCTGCCTTCATAGTCTTTTGGGTTGGTCTAAATGACCCATCTTGAAAGTGATAGAAAGTGTAGTTGTCCCTGAAGACGGAGACAGTACGAGCCTTTTAAACGTCGTTAAACTTCTACCAGCCTATACGGCGCAACAACCCAGAAAACTGATATGATACTCGTTGCCGTGAAAACCTGAAATCTCACATAGCTTAAGACCTTCGTTCAACAGTTTTATTCAGCTGATCAAAACTATTTCTGGTGTTACGCATATCCAAAGTTTTCCAACATATCACAGAAGATCGTCTGTGGGTCCGGTGATAAGCGATCAATTTTAAGGAAAGTGGGATGAATGACAGAGAATACAGAATATAATTTTTAAGTCCGTAGTTACCGTTAAAAATACACAGGGACAGACAGAATAAAACGAATGTGAGGCAAACTAACGTCTCTTACATGCACTTACAAAAATGATGCCAAATAATAGGCCACGACATTCAAATATCGCTATATCCAGTGTTAGAATTTGGATGTAACTCTTTGTCCCAAATAAAATTGCTATTTCTGTCCTTCAGATTAGTGAATAAAAAAATTTAGCAGCGTCTTATTATTAATCATGACAGCTACTTGAACATTCGTTAAAGGACAGGCCTACAGGATATAGAAAACACGTTTGTCTCAAAATAACAAAACCTCCATGTCAGAGACACGTAGGGCACTACATACGCGTGCCCACTTATTCAGTTCCGGTTCGTTACTGACCTTGATCCTGAGCGAATGGAGTTTAATTAATTTGTAGACATTTACCAGCATGACAGCTCTCTTATGCTTTAACTAATGATCTGCATAACCTTATGCTTATAAACCCTTTTCGTGATAATACAGTGCAGAAAGTCTCATGGTGAGATGATCCCTTCTTGTGTGACAAAATATCTGCGTTCATTTCAGTAAATAACTGTCATCAAATGCTTTATTACTGAAGTATTTACAATACACACATAAAGCGAACTTTTGGGAAATGTTAAATTAGAATTGTCACATTACAAGATTACACGAAAAAGGATATATTTTCACTGTCTGAATAGACACCGACATCTAGGCTACGTTATTTAACTTATTCAAAACACATTATAAAATTTATCTTGTGAGACAACTGCATATAGACAATTAATTAAGTAGAAAATGTAATTTGTTAATACATCCTAAGGATAACGTTTGAACATTCTTATTAGTAATTTAATGCATTTAACAATATCAGAAAGTAACGTTTAACAATATACATTTCTTGTTTTCTTAAATGCTTAACAATATATTATACGGACAAATATTGCACTTCTAGACGTAATATCGAGGCAAAGGAAAAGCTCGAAACGCCATATTTCCTCAGGTATGTGGTTTAAGTTATGAACCAAGATATCTTAATAGAAATCTATACAAAGTCTTCAAATGGACACTTTAGACTACACTACACTAAAATTCCAGAGGCGTTTTATGCTATGTAACAGTAGGACGACCAAATTAAAACAAATGAAACTACCGTATTTATTGTCACTGTTGTAACAATGTGAAGAAAAATACGAGACAGACATATGTGGGCTGCCTCGTAAGGTATTCTTCGCTTACACTGCAACGCAAAGAAGACGAGTAATTCGGTCACTGAAACAGCTACGTGTATGTTTTGATGACACGTGTATTCGAAGAAATTAAAATATTTGGCAATCTCTTATTTTATTTTTACACAGGAAAAGCACGTGAACTTACAATGCTTGTCTGTGTATGTTTATCATAGAGAGGCCTGTTTTGAGGTATAATATTAGCTGCAAATACACGGTTGTAGTAAAAGAGTCTGTCTTGATGTAAGACTGATCTAACTGTCGCTCTCTCATCTGAACGTCTAAGCACTGTCACCATGTGACGCCAGGTGAAATTTAATATCCGCCCACCCCTTCAACTCACCCCTTTTTGCTTCCTTCCTCCTAAAGCATTTTCTTCCGTCCCACCCCCCAACATCATTCTCCTCTCGAAAGTCTCTGGAGCACAAGTGTTGCCGGTACAACTACCAGTGCAGTAGCTTGCGATCTATTCATTTCACGTCAACCCCCGTGCAGCAGTTTAGAAGCGCATTCCGACTTTTGACAAATGGAGTCATGGACTCTAACTCAGTATCCAGGTCTAACTCTCTGCCTCTCTTTTATAACAAGGAATATTTTCCATCTCTATTCTCCACCAACAACGAGGCACACAAAATAATTTTTAAGCGAATGGGTGTGATGCATTTAAGAGCAGAATTTTGAAAAGGAAGAAGGTGAAATGGGGAGTTTGTAAAATACAATAATCAAAATAAATCAGTAAAATAGTCAGAATTAGAAAATATTCTACTGTTCGCGCTTTACAAAATAAAGTTTCTTTCAAACATGTCGAAGGAACCTGAAATCTCAAGGCTGTCTTCTGAGGTGTTGCGCTGTACAGTCTGGTGGAAGTGTACCAAAGTTTTATTATCCTGATGAAAGAGGCAGCAAGATCCTCTGAAGCGGTACATTTCTACCTGATTACAAGCCGCTTCAACCCAGGAGACAGCCATCTTCTAAAGAGATGCTTATAACGTTTTCTAGCGTTGTTAGGCTTATATCTGGTTCGTTCTTATTTATGTTTTTTATTGACACCTTAATATTTCTCTTTTCAAATTAAGAACTCATATTAATTTTAGAAGATGGTCTGTAGTAAATAAGCCTGTTTGTAATTCGGTATATGCATTTCTGAAGTTTATACTTCACTTGTCATTATCATGATTTAAGTCCATAACGAACACAACCTACAGCGTTCTTATTGTGAATTATTATTTTACGCGTTATGATGTATTGTATAGATCACTTCTGCACTGAAAATGGAGTTGATACATTCCTCCGAAACATTGGTAACCGCCGAGAATTTTAAATGATCTCACAACCCATGTCACAATTCCCATTTTCACCGACGCGGAAATCCCTTCATCTCCTCTTGTACTTTTTAATTTCAGTTTCATTTGCCCCTTTATGAACATGCAAAACTTGTATTTTCGTGGTAGGGCGTAGATTTAGATTTGTGTTGGTTATGTATTTTTGTACAATTTCAATAGCCGAAACTCTGTTTTTAAAGTGTGGTTAGGTTGAATTTTACTTCTAATATGTTTGTCATCACTTTCAGAGAGCCTTTCGTATTAACTGAAACAACGTCACATTATTAAGATGGCTGACTTCTGGGCTGCTTCATCAGCCTGTTCATGAAAGCAGCAGGCACCTCTGAAACGTCGGCAGACATCTACCAGAGAACACGTAGCAACAACCCGGAAGACAGCCATCTTAGTATTCGCCGCGTGAGATCCTGAAATCTCAAATGTTACACTAGTTCGTCCAACCGACAGGCTGACTCTTGACATATGTGTGTGTTCTGTGGTTGCAGAGAACGGGTTGCCTCGAAGACTCCGTACGGCGTACACAAACACACAGCTGCTGGAGCTGGAGAAGGAGTTCCATTTCAACAAGTACCTCTGTCGACCGCGGCGAATCGAAATAGCGGCATCGCTGGACCTCACCGAACGTCAAGTTAAAGTGTGGTTCCAGAACCGTCGCATGAAACACAAGCGACAAACACTCAGCAAGACAGGCGAAGACGGTGACAGTAAAGACTCTCCCTCAGGGGGTGTTGGTAAAAGCAGTAGCAAATCCGACAAAAGTATTTTGCTTCTGCAGGATGAAAACAGTAAGAGTTGTCAGAACTGCGACTTGACCTCTGGGGGAGGTAACACAGGTGGAGGCGGTATTGGTGATCATACTTCAAACAGGGGAAATAACAATAACACCGCAGGTGTCACTAATAACAACACGAGTTTCAATAATAACAACAGCAATGCTAGTAGCGGTGCAAGTAGTGTCGCTAGCAGCATCAGTAGTTCCTTCGAAAAGATGGTCACCGAGGAGGACTCAAGATCTAATGAGAGCAGCGGTATTCTGTCGACACCAGGACTAGTGGTAAAGAAACTCGGTGGGAGTGAAGTGCTTGTCAAAGTGGAGGCTGACAACAAAAGTCCACCTATTTTAACTCTAGTAACGAAGAAAGAGCCCGGTGGCAAGGAAGTATCAGCGGCGAACAGTGTTATGGGAGGGAGTACACAAAGTGGTAAGGGAAGTGGTGGTAGTTCTAGTGGGAGTGTAGGATTATTATCTCTTCCGGACGCGTCACAACAACAAAGTGCATGTCCTGTCGCCGTGCCTCCATCAGGCAGTCTGACGCCCTCGTCAACACCTGGGACACCACTCCAACAACAATCAAGTCCTCTAGGCGGTATCCAACAGCAACCACCTTGCAACAGTGGCAATTCGAACAGCGGTGTCATGGTGGTAGGTAACAATGGGTTGTTTCCTCAGAGATCCAGGACTTCTCCGACAACAACATCGACAACAATAGCTACAGCAACTGCTACAGCTTCCGTGACCGCTGTTCTTCAGCAGCACCAATCGAGTCCCAGCAATATATCAACCGGCTCGATGCCACCACTGATACAAATCGTCAGAGGAGCGACGCCAGCCTCAGCTGGTTCCTTTCCTCACAACAATCAGCTGTCCGAGTACCGTCACACGGGACCTCCGAACCGATCTGACTTCAGGCGTCAGCAGGGGGTCACGACAAGTACAACAATACAGCACGGCGGCTGTTACAGCCCCAGAGACATGTTTCAGCAGCAGCAGCAACAGCGTCTGATGTACCCACCCACACCAGACTCTGCAGCGTATATGCGGCAGCACCATTCTTCAATCACACCACCATCCTCGCGTCTGAATGGACTTCATGCTCCAGTAACGACTCCTAGGACGACGTCCATCCCTCAACATCACCCCAGAGGATCCTATCACCATCAGACTATCACACAACAATATCACCACCAACAATCCTCAACATACGGCCCACCGACCAGTTACAACGGTTATCATCAGGCACAAAATCATCAACCTTCCGATCACCAAGCCTATCATTCAGGAACCTCATACCAACATCGTAACCTCAATAGTCATCACTCGTATAATCAAGGACAGCCTTATTCGACCGATCATGACCCGTACCTCTCAGGTACTTTATCCGCAAATTATTCCGGATATGCAGGTGGGATGTACACAGGAAATTCATCAGATACCATACACCACCCGGCTCACCCACACATGGGTGGCTCTGGACAGCACCAACAGATGCACGGTGATTCCACGTCATATTATGCAGACGGAATGCAGCACACGCAAAGCACATTCGGACCACAACACACGACTCATCACATGGACGCTGAGTATGGGACAGCTCAGGGAGCATCAAACAAAACACACAATCAAGGTCATTCATATTATGATCAGGCTAATCAGCATCACCATCACCAACATCATCATATGATACACCAAGGTGGCGATGCGTCTAATATACCCAACAATTACGTGTCGTCACCGGACCCATTTCCCCTGAACAACGGAGGAGGGACGCCAACTCCAGGCGGGACAGGTGTTAGCACCACAGCGACGGCGATCGCAGCGGCCACGGCGGCAGTCATGACGCCACCGACGGCCGTGCAGACGGACTCAGGAGACAACTTTAACAATTTTCACCATTTCTACAGCGAGCCCCATCATTCGCATCCTACAGTGCACCATAACAATCCTGCGTCAGCAGAAAACAGCAACAGTTCGTCCGATTTCAATTTCTTGAGCAATCTGGCGAACGATTTCGCACCAGAATATTATCAGCTCAGCTGAAAGCTGTTATAAATCAAGCCTCCATCAATAACTAAAGAAATACGTTTTCTGTAATTCATGGTAAGGAATATTCAAAATGTGACGCTATTTTTAAAAATTTTACAAATTAAAATCTAATTTAATTGACTTTTAAAACAAAAACATCACATACTGCACTAAAGCAAATGATAGTCTAGTAGATTTTCATTCAACGTCTTTTAGAAAGGCTTCCCATTATGTGAATTAAGAATTGGTGCCATTGTCTATGAACGGTGGCATGAGAAAGTGTCTGACGAAGTCGACATAATTTAAAACATCCAATTGACTTAAAGGTGATGTTTCCTCAAATTTAATCGAAATCTCACAGATTTTATAATAACATCAAAATCTTTTAAAAATAAAATATTTAGATTCTATGAAATGCACAAAAATAAAAATCAAAGAGCAATAATAGATCAGTGCGATATTAGTTTGTTTCTATGGCTTAGTTATATCGTTTGTGATTTTTTATTAAATAAGTGGATGAAACAAGAAATGCGTTTAATGACAGTATAATACGTGAAAAGTTAAAATATGCCTATATATTTCTTAAAATTAATTTAAACTGATATCTGAATACCATGACAGAGAAGACGTGATCAAAATGTGAGCGACAGTCACAGATGGAGACGATATGTGCAATTTATTTCACACTGTTTGAGCAAAGCTCTTACCGAAAGTGGCCATGACAAGTTAACAAAAATAAGTGACATTTAAAATAAAATTTGTAAAAATATACCAACAGCACGAAAATAAACTTAAGTGAGAAGGAGGTTATTACAAGGCAGAACTTTAGCAATTTTGTCTTTACTACTATTATTAGATAGATATTCCTATTATTAGAACAAAAACTATGTTATTGTTGTTCCTTTGTTGTTTGGTGTAAATAATCTAATTGATTCTTATCATTTACTAATGACTATTATTATTCACAATTATGTACAGATCATATCCTTTACAACAACGTAATGGATTAGAGCCAATAAACCATAAGTTATAAGATTTTAGTCTTCTGACGAAAGATCGAATATTTATGGAATGAACTTTATATATTAGATCGTAATTAGGAACTTATCGTTTTACTGTAAAGTTCTGTGTTAGATAATTGTAATAATCATGGGGTCTTAAAAAATGAAGTACAGTCTGGTTATCTCTACTGATAATAACTGCGGTCTAAGAAATTACCAGGGTTCTTATATCGGATTTTCACAAGTACTCGACAACATACAAAACTTGAACGCAGCTGACCCGTTATGAATGTAATTTGATCCAGATGGAAACTGTAATTGGCAATAACTTCTAACATTACCATTCTGAGTTATATCCCCAATCATTAACATCACTTGGAAATTAGGAGATACCAATCAATCGATCGATGAAAATCAAAAATTCGTTACTGTAGATTGATCCACGACCACCAAAATTCTTGGTACGTACATAGGCTGAATGGATCCATTTCGCCATGAAGAAATACCTATTGAAGGTGGACTTTTCCATTTGCCAATTTTTATTCTTTTAGCTCTTCAACACAGATGCTGGACGACCATCTCAAGTTAATGGACAGCCCCAAATAATTTTATTCATTTTAGTATGAGGAGGCAATTGACATCGGAAGATAATTTACTGTCTGCTCGAACACTGAAAATAAGTATTTCTTAAAAACAATTAGTAGTTCCCCGATAATAGCAGCTATTATTTGTGTTCGGCTGAAATCGAAATGTGTAACTTTGGCCTTCTGATAACACGACAAATCTTGGAGGTCTAAAGCTTCGGCAAAATATTGCGGTTTCCATCAATATCATTAAAAGCTGTAAGTGCAGTGTTTGACGAAACATCTGAAAACCCTCAAGATTTGGCGCGGCTTATCTACGAAAACCGAAATTATACCTTAAATTCTGGCCGTGAAAACCTATGGAAATAAAATCAAAATGTTTAAATTCAGAATGAGTCTCTAAAGAAAGAAAATATCAAAACTTATAGAACACATAATACATACCCACCAAAATATGTCTGTCGCAGATTCAGAATCTAAATACGATAACTAAATTGTGTGAAAAATCCGTGTGCTAGTATCACTGATCTAACACATAAGTTGGAAATACAGAGTTGATTATGACGTCATTTCCTTCTCCATATTCGTGCATTTCTTTTCATTTACTTACTTTTCCCTATTTTTACTCTTAATTATCGTTCTCAACAGATCACAAAACCTCTCACTGTTTCGATCTCCCCATTCCAAAAAAGCATCACAGTCAGCTCTCTCTCACTCGCCGACCGGAGAAACTTCCCCTAGAGATATGCAACCAGCCAGCCGACTTGTAACCACGGCAACTATCTCCATCCTTGTTGCTCTCATAGGTGTTCCCTATATCCTCCATCTCACCCTAATCATTTACATAATGGGCCGCCCATCGATCAGCCAATAAAATAGCTGCTGCAATGCTGTGGCGGGAAATGTGGCATCACCATGGTGACGGCAGATGAAGTCAAGTTGAAGACTGAGAAGTGGAGTGAACAGACAGCAACGGAACACCACACTGCAAAAATAATCTTAAACTCCACGTTACACTAGATTTATCACCAATTTTTGTCTAAAATAACCTCATATCTTTCCAGAATAGACTTTGCATTCGTTCTCATTTCATAGTTTAAATATTAAAAATAGCCTATGTCTATTTGATAATAAATCATTTGTGAAGGAACAGGGGTTGTAAAGGGGCAATAGTAACCTATTTAAAAGCACAGCAGTCTATTTTCTAAAAGACAAAGGAAGCCAATACAATGTCACGCACAATCTCTGATCGAGACCTGTTTATAAAGAGATAAGTGCAGGTACGATGTAATAAAACAAGGGAGATAAAATGGTAAACGTAGTAAGTATTATATTGTTTTACCCAAATTACTGTCGTGCCCTAAAACAAGATAATGTATCTATAATAAAATGTACTAATTACGAGCCGTAAATTCACTCCAGAGATAACAAATTCAATGTTTACCAAGCTAAAAGCATTCAATATACAGCGAAGCTAGTTCCCCAAACTAAGAGCTGTAAATTTCTAGGTGTTCTTTACGCTTTAGCTTGAGAGAAGATAAAGTTATGGTTCTGTTATGTCCGTTTGTCTGTCTGCTTGTATCGTCTTTCAGCCGAAGAGATCGTACTGATGCCATGCATATCAGTGGTCTTGCAAAATATAAATTTTGCCCTCATTTCCTCCCTGAAGAAAAATCTCAGGAAAGAACCCAAATTGTGCGATGTAAAAGGGTGATTTTTTTAAGACGACGTCTTTGCCCACGATTCTCTGCGACGACTTATAACGCCCTTGATGACTTAATAGCTAATATCCAAGTATACGAATGCATTTTCACTGAATTCGTATGGCTATTATGCCATTGGAGGATACCCCAGACTTGTAATTTTTAAGTCCCTAAAATCAGTGACGAATTTTCAAACTTGTGAGGTGGGACGATCTTCAATGACGTCATTCATGACATTTGGCATGGGCATTATGCCATTGGGTTCAGTCCAAAATCATACTCAAGAACTTCCTACAATGAAACCGACTTGACGATTGCTTATACTTGTGAGATTGGAGCATGATCCCCTCAACGACGACATTACCCATGATCCACCGCGAAGACTGATCGAGCTTAATGCAGTTTTCGTAAGTTCCGACCTGCCATTCAGATACAAAATATCCTGAAAGTACGAAGGAGTACAATGCGTCTTTGTGGTGTGGTATTTAGGAGCAGGGAAACAATGATTTTTAATCAAATTCTTAGCAAGAATACTGGTTTCATTATCACAGTTTTACAAGCCTAAATTTTCCTCTTCTTAAGCACTGGGTAGTCTTGAAGAATCGCAGAGGAGATTTAAGTGTGTCTCAAGTATTTTGTTGCGGACACTTTGAATTATGTTTCATTAAGCATTTACGAATTACAAGGACAAATCTGTACTACAAGTAGGCATCATCATTAAATAATCCTTTGCTATAGAATCCATAACATGGCTGATATGGAAACATTCCTTTGTAAATAACGGATTTCAAACAGGACTAATTTTAAATATTGCACAAAATTCGTTTCCATATTCTGAATTCATTAAATTCTTTAAAGATGTTCAGCTACTTATCCATTCAGTGACGCCCCCCTTTCAAAAATACTATAAAATTAAAAGAGAGCGGATTACACGTGCCCTTAATACTCCTGGATAATACGAGTGTGAAATATTTTCGCCTATTTTTGACAGTGTTGCTGAGGCTGTGGAACGGATGACACATCCCACCCTTCACCGTCCGAACCCAAACTGCTTTCACATCGCCCCCCGCCGCCCGCTCATCGTTTCGCCATTTAGCGTAAACCAAGGCACACTCTTTATGTAGGATTAGGACATGATCAGCATCAAAGTGATACTCAAGCAACGTCTCATTTCCCGAGCTAAATTTTGGTTAGCGCCCGAAATTTGTGGGCGTAAAACACTTTTATCAAGACTGATATTCATATGATTTATTTAAAATTACCGCTGATATTTGTTGAAGAAAATTATATTTGATGCACAATTTTATTTTCGTCAGTTTCTGTCTAAAAGCCTCCCAGTTATTCACTGACACAAAACCAACTATCGTTCGACACTACATGATGTGAGAAGTTGATACAAAGTTGTGAAATAAGTGTAAAACAACACAAATCTAATTATTTTAAGATGTAGATGGAAATGTGAGAAAAATTAAAATTACGCAGGATTCACAGTTACAGATATGACTTCGCACCAAAGTGTTTTCAAATAAAATTCACATGTACCATACAATCGGGGCCAAACTCCATGAATATATTCGTATTTCGGACAGAGTATCTGGGAAACCTGACACTAAATTTTTTTCTTATATATACTCGAAGTTACCCCCTACTTTATGTTATTTCCTAATTACACAATCACACTAAATAATTAGCCTATAATTTTTTGCAATCATCAGTGCAGAAAAACACGAAAAGCAGACGGATTTTAATATTTCTTTCAATTAAATAACTTGAATTTACAGCAATTTTATTATTATCGTCCGTATCATTATAGTTCCAGAATATTCCAATAATAATTTAGACATTTTCCAACTATTTTATGCCTCTGTAAATATGTAAGAAATTTATCCTGCAGAATCTGGTAATAGATTTAATGTTACCTACGTTTATTTTATACCAAATTCTCCACAGTGCTGTAAGATAATTAGTATTTTCACTTGAAAATTAACATCATAAATTATTTCTACGTTTATATAATTGGAAAATACTAATTTTAATCTCTTGATAGCGGCATACTTCTGAAATCAGAAAGATTTACACAGCAACAGAGGATAGAGACGACACAATTACGACAGTAAGTGAGATAATATAATTCTAAAACGTGATAACCTTATATCCATACCAACGCTTTTCACGGAATATATAGTGTTCTTTTAAAATATGCATTTCCTTTACCCCTAAGAAATCCATAATTCCGTATTAATGAAATGACAATGTAGTAGGATTATGCAAGTGTTTGGGCTTAATAATTTACATAAAGTAAGCAAATTCAACACTAAGCAGGCAATCGAAAGACAACCACTGTAACATGTCGCGTGAGACCCTTAATTGGAAGTATTTATTTAAATAAACAAACTATACGGAGTATATGTCTTAGCCTTCTCGTATTCTAAATGCTTACGTTTCTGATTTAAGCACACGTAAGTGTCAATTCTTAAAAACCTCCAAAAAATTGGAAGTAGGATTCATTTACCGAAAATTTTAGGCCTACGCTCGTACTACTTCAGAATGCGAGGGCATGACCCCTCCTGAAAAATATCGGCGAGTCTAAAATTAATCCCGGAGTTTAATGTTGATAAAGAATAAAGTCTGTATTCACTATTTCGAAACAAACATTAAAGGAGTAAACCTGGAAACGAAACAAAGGCAGTGCGTACACCTATTTATTGACGGAATAAAAGATAGAGGAGTAAGGAAAGAATGGAAGAT